TGTGGTACGCCTACTTCTTTTAGTATTCGCCATAAGTATCTCCACTTGACCCTATCGAACGCTCTACGGTAATCTATAAAACAGTTGTATAGTGGGATGTTAAATTCCCTAGATTTCTCGATTATCTGTCTTATATTCAGCAGATGTATATTTAATAAAATTAACCTTTAACTGTATAAAAATATATTTTGTATAATCGAAAAAATTTACAGTCTTAAGCTACATACATAAATCCTTATTTATAGCAGTTATTTTTAAATAGTATTTGCAAAGAATTTTATAAAAGTATATATTTTCCCCATGCTACGACTCTGAATCGGCCAATACCATCTTTATGTTGATTTACATGTTTTTTCCGCTTATTTTTTCTTTTGTTTTTCATACTCGTCTTTTCTCGAAACCGTTGGCAGTTTACTGCCAGTCTCTCGAAAAGGCCTCGGCACGATACATTAGGACTGCATGGGTGTGACTTGGATGTTCTGGCCTCTGTGTTGGTATTGATTTTATGACAGCTGCATCCCGCATACCTTATGCGCATACCTCTGATTTTATGTGCCCCTGTAGAGGATTATACAGGCAAAAACAAATACTTTCATCTAGTGCCCTCCAGAAAATTAATAAATTCAAAGGAAAGTCTGTAAAATGTTGTTAATTGATAATTTCGGGATTTCTGCTACGTGGTTCAGAGCTGATGACTTCAAATGCTGTCTCGTATTTTTATCTAGATGTTTATCTTACCGAGAGACTTCTGGCAAGAAGGTTTTGATTTACATTGTAATGTAATAACTTACCATTTTACCAAATTACAAAAAAAATCTCAATTTAAAAAATTTAATTTAATAAAATGATTTCAAGACTAAACAATATTTTTATATTTCAATTAATTGTGGAAGTCGCTTAAAAAGTAACTCGTAAATTGGAAGTAGTCGGCTTAAAGCAGAAGTATTAAATATTATTCAAAAATGCTTATTTATTATTCTGTTTAAAATGATCCTTGAATATGTTTCAAGTAACAAGGGTATAAATACATACATTAAGTTGATGGTTTCTGTTTTAATGCGTCTCTGTTGCGCCTGGTGTGTACCTTTGTGAAATCAATAGCTTGTCAATCAGTTTTTCAAAAATATCTCTAAGGCCAGCTGCTCTGTTAATTTTTATATTTTTTTTCCGCATTTCATATTTAGTGTTGAGATGTCTCTGCAACTTGTGTTTGCCTTTTACTTATTTCTTAAGTGGGAGGACTTACAGTATTCCGTCGAGGAGGACCAAACTTACTGTTGCAGACGATATCGATCTAATACGAAACAACAGATTAAATATGAAGGGGGCTTACGTCAGGTTCATTTAACATTGCAGCTGCATCCTATTTCCCCCCTTAACATAACCACAAAAGAGAAGACTATGCTAACTTCTTATCAACCTTGGGTGAAAAATACATAGTGAGCACTTTAATGCAAAAAATACCTGTTGGGGTTCCAAACTCCCTACACCTAAAGGTAAAAAATTGCAGCATATTGTGACTGGACCCAAATGTAGATGACACTCTACGAGCAAACCTACTTGCTGGATAAGTGCTGAAAATAGAATTCCGGAACTTTTTTTCATATCCAGAGGTTTAGCAACAAATTTTATAAAAATAGAGGATGTAGAGGAGCTTATATCTGACCACTTACCAATTCTACTAACTACTAACTACTCACATTAGTGATTGTTACCACTGAAATGAAACCCTTGTTGGCCAATAAGTTTACGGACTAAGTAAACTTCCAATTAGAAATGAATAAGAAAATTAAGTTCAATGGATTTATTCAAACAATAGAACAATTGGAACTAAAAACTGAGCTATTCATGATAAACATCCAATAAAATAGTAATCGAAAGAAAAACAGTAGAAAACAATTACACCAAAAAATTAGAGAGTTGATTTAAGAAAAAAGAGAGGCTCGGAAGGTATGGTAGAGGATTCTAATAAAAATAAACTAAACAGGCTCACATATTTGAAAACAAAAATTGCTAAAATTCAAAACGAATCAATCAGTAAGTACTTGAGATAACTAACTGATGATGAATGCAATGATAAATAAGTCAGTTCAACATATAGCTCCTTTACGAAAAGAAAACAAGACTTAGTAAAAAATAACAAAGTGAAAGTGGATGCATTGAATGATTATTTAGAAAGAAAACAAATGTCAACCAAACCCTAGGGAAATTCTTTTAGACGATAAAAGAGTAGATACTGATTCTACTAACATACAATTGACTATTTCAAAAGGACAACATCAATACAAACAAGCGTCTGGGTTTGATCTGATAAATAATGAGATACTAAAAAAATGCTTCCGAAGCTATAGTAAAGTTTACTATCCTAATAAATGCATCTTTTAGACATGTTCCCATCCTTTGAAAAACTGCAGAGGTCATAATGATACCCAAAGTCGGACAAGTTATCCATGAAGTAACATCATACTGGCCAATCTCCTTAATACAATAATCTCAAAGGTGTTTGAAAAATTGCTAGTACGAATAAAGAACCATATATCTGAGCAAAAAAATGTTAATCCGACCCACTAATTTTGATTTTGTGATAAACACTCCACAGTTGACCAGACACATTGAATAATAATTGAAATAGAGAAAGCATTGGAAGGTGACAAAATTTGTTCAGCAGATAACAAAGTTGGTGAATTATGTTATAGGTTGTTGGTTAACTAGTAATTGACCAAGTGGTATCCTTTTTTTGCTTATGTATTTGGTTTTTTTGATGTTAAAATCACGCCCAAGCAGTATCATCAGCGTATTTTGTTTAATCGTTCTCCGTTTATAAGTATTCCCTCGTCTATGTCCGTTAGCGCTAGGTTTAAAATGTGCTCTGAATATGTATTGAACAATAATGGGGACAATATACATCCCTGTCGCACACCTCTTTTTATCTTTATGTCGTCTGTTAACTGATCCCCAACTCTAACAGCTGCAGTTTGTTCGTAATAGATATTGTTTATTATACGGCGATCTCTGCTGTCTAGATCAATTACCAGTACTATACCTTTTATATATATCTGACATTCCTGAAAAAAAAAAACATTCAACTAACCACATTTGCTGATTATACAGCAGTCCTAACAGAATTCAATTAATGGCATAGAACGCTTAACATCTTAACCAACAGCATTGCTTCTAATAAGAAAACAGACAAGTACCTTGGTTTAATTCTGGACGTCAAACTCAAATAAAAGGAGCATGTTAAAAAGAAAACTGAACAGTTGCGGATAAGGTACAAAAATATGTATTGGCTGATAGGTAGGAACTCTCAACTTTTCGTCCAGAACAAGGTACTGATTTACAAATAGATATTAAAACAGGTGTGGACTTATGGCCTACAATTATGGGACTGTACAAAAAAAAATATAGAAATTTAGAAACGCTTCAGACCCAAATACTAAGGAATACTGTAGGTGCTCCTTGGTATGTTCGGAATGACAATTTATGTAGAGACCTTAAAGTTGAATCTATTCCAAATGAAATTTAGAAAAACTGCCAGAAGACATGAAAAGAGGCTCCATAAGGATCCCAATCATAAGGCACTAATGCTTCTTGTCTTAATGTTAGGAGAGGACTAAACAGTTCGAGTTGTTTGTGTAATGTGTGAAGTTGTGCAAGGCTTATTTAGTGTTGTGCATTGTAGCCACAACAAGAACGTGAGCAGTTAGTAAAAAGCAGAGTCAGTGTTAAGCTGTGTAGCCACAATAAAGAAGTGGCCATTTCATGTCAAGAAAGAGGTAGTATGGGCCAGGTAACATCTGCTTTACAAACAATCTTTGGAAAATTAATTTAGAGAAAAAATGCTGATTAATCTTGTAGATTAGGTGTAGTCTTATAGTTTAAAATAAAAAAAAAATGAGCTGCGATAACCAAACAAATATAAAATGGGACAGAACATCACCATCATTAAATTGAACTTTGAGCGCGTCAGAGAATTTAAGCATCATGTAACAACAATACCTAAAGAGAAAAACGGATTACAATATATCTCACAATAAACAGTAGGATAGAAGTCAGCAATAAATGTCTTTATGCTCTTTAAAACCTTACAACTATACAACTATATAAAACAGTCAATCAACTGTATTGATGTTTGGTAACAAAACGTGAATAAAGTGGATAACAAAGGCAAGCGAAGAGCGACTACGTGTTTCGAAAAAAAAATTTAAGGAAGATCTTTGGGCCTGTGCTTGATGGTGCAGCAGGACAATATAGGAAATAAACTAAGAAAGAGCACGAAGAACTGTATCCAGACACTAACATAATAACAGAAATAAAGTCTAGAACGCTCTAATGTGCAGGAGACCTCAGAAGACATTCTGACGAAAGAATAGTAAGGCCGGTATGGGACAAAGTCCCAATTGGAAGAAGGCCACGTGGACGACCTTGACTCTTTACATATGATATTGTTGCCATCTTTGTCTCCATTCTTGTAAGCGTTTCTGGTTTGCTTGTGGTGTTTTGTTATTCTCTTTCTTCTATCTTGGAGAATTTCTTGTTTATAAATGACAATTGGTAGTCATTTTTTGTTAAAATCTTTGTTAGCAAATTTTTTCTTCTTGAAACAACTTTTTATTAGAGCAGGTGTTTTTGGCTCTATCATACAATGATTAAATGATTCCTTTTTTGATGTTATATTTACGTCGTGATTTGAGTGGTAATTTAAATATCTGTTGGTGTGACCGGTTTCCTGTAAACTCTGGTTGCATATCCCGAATCCTCTGTTTTTGATTAGCACATCCAGAAAAGGAAGTGAATTATGGTTTTATTATTACTATTATTTTATTTATTTTTAGTTTATTCTTGTTATTATTTTATCTTAACGTAACAAAATCATTTCGAAATATTAAACATACTGAATCATCATATGATGTCGGATTAAAGGAAGTTATCTTATTCAAATCTTAATAATTCAAAACTGTGCTTATATAATAAACTTACACTTTTTTTATTATTTTCAGTTTAACGTTCAACGCCTGCAGGACGCCCACTCTTTGTCTCAGGCGGCGGCCGCAGCGGCTAGTTCGAGCAACGGCAGCGCCACGACGCTCGGTGGCGGTCTTGCCATCCCCGGTAGTCTCGACAGTGGCGCCGGACACGCGGGAGTTTCGGCCGGTGGATCACACCCCCTTTACTTGCAGGGATCTGCACATAGTTCGGGAGGCTCGGTCAGTTCGACGGGAGGAGGCTCGCCAACGAGTCCACTCAGGCCCGGAAAAGAGGAGGATTGTAGTCTGCACGGGAGGAGTAGTACAGAAGGTAAGTTTTTGAATCATTTGTGTTGACTTTATATAACTTATATGTCTATGGTCTACAGCTATTTTATGCAGATTAGTGACTCTTTAAGAATAAAATAGGAAGCTAGGTAAAGAATATCTAGAGCTCTAGGTGGACCAACTTTAATTAGTTTCCCGAATTAACATTTTATAGTGAAAATTTGTAAATCTTTTATACAGTGTGAATAACAAAAAAATTGGAGGGAGAATTAGAGAAGTATACTTTGCCAATTCAAAGAATAAACAATAATGAAATGATTGAATTGAAATGAGGTTGAATGCTAGAATAAATGAACTTTGAAAAATAAGGCTATTATCGAGCACAAGTTAATTAAATCTAGCCCAAGTACTTTCGCTTAAAATAGCATCTTCAGGGGCATCTGAAATAAGCCAAGAAAACGTTTTTAGATGAAGGAAAGTAGTTAACTTCGATAAAAAACTCAAAGTTAATGAATGAAAAAAAGTTTTTGAGATTAACATTTTAGACTTACTTCGTCAAATATAAACTATCCGGCAAGCGTAGAATGTGGAAACATTAATAATGACATAAAATTGTACAAAACACTACACTAAAACGAGGACAAACAGTTTAAAATTACTTAAAAGATTCTACATTCTTTGTCAGTATCTGGAGGGATAATGATCTAAGCGGAAATGATACGGTGACATGTGGCATATGACAACTTTGATAGGCAGTCAAAGTTATGGATCTGTGATCAGCACATATTAAAAATTCTATATAAGTTGTCATTGGCCAAAGGTCCAACTAGAACTACTACTGAAAAAATCAGCTGATGAAGTATGACATATAGAATATTTTGATTTAAACTAGATTGCATAATCCAGATCTCACACTCACAGTCGTCTGTAATAATAAGGTTGTAGGTTTGAGGCTAAATGAAGTGTACATAAAGTGTGAATGAAAGAAATAGACCAAACGATCTATTGGACAGTGGGTAGTTGACTACAATAAAATGGTCTACCAGGCACTGTCAATACTGCAAAACAAGAAGAAAATTGACTATGAAATTGAAATATTAAAATTAAATCAGAATTGAAAGCAGTGTGTAAATGGGTAGAGTTCAAGTAGTTCAGTTAAACCTCAAGCCAATGGGGAAACTGTAAAACTAATATGTAATAGCATTACTAAAGACCAACTGACCAACAGGTGTTGAAATATAAAACTGTGGAATTAGTATATGTAGATTATGCAGAGGTATGAAGAGTGAAATCAACTCCAACTGTGGATCAATTGAATCTGAGCAAGTTAGTTGTGTAAATTGTTAAATACAATAGTAATGCTGAACAAAGCCTGAAATTGGTAGATTCTTAATGTATAAACTCAGTGCAGGAAGTCTAGACAGCCGAGCTGGGTCCACTACGAGGTGAAGCTGTAATAAAGTTTTTTAAAAATAGGTTTAAATTTAGTACAGTTTAAATTAATTTGAGTGTTAAGATAATGAGAGTTTCCACTCGTTTCCTTTGTGATCTCCAAATCTTCCAATAGATCCAACTCCAAATAGTTTTTCTTTCTACTGATGTCATGCAAAATAGACGAACCAGTATTGATGTTGAAATTGTGTTTAATAGACTCTAATTGTTGACCAAAACTTGAAGAGTTTGGTCTTTTTAAATGTTCTGATATTCTGGTAGATAGCTTTCTAATGGTTCTGCCTACATAAGAGGCATCACAATCATCACACTTTAATTTGTAAATACCACTTTTGTCAAGTGTGTTCAGCCTGTCTTTGGTGTTAATTAAAAAGGAACCTACAGTGTTGTGTGACTTAAAGGAAATTTTGATGTTTTTAACTGCAGAAGTAAAAAGTTGAGCTATTTTATTAGAAATGTTGCTAATATAAGTAAAAGAGAAATATCTGATATTGTTGGAAGCATTTGGTTGAAGAAGACTTTGTGATGAATATGCAAGCTTTTCTGTAATTTTGAGTTTAGCTCTATTTAGAGGCTAGAAGAAAAAAAAATAATGAAATGGTTAAGCACAAGCAAAGAAGAGGAACAAGAAAAATACAAAGACCAAAGGCAAAAGAAAAAGAAGTTGTTAAAATCGAAGAAAGACCAAGTAGTAAAAGATGTATTATAAACGAGAAAAAACAAAAAAGAAAAGACACAACTCAAAACTATTGTACTAATACTTAAAACTAGGTAACCAAGAACGGTCAGCTAATATAGCTATAGACGCAGAAAAATGGCAAAAGTATTTCGAAGAAATATATCAAGAAACGGATAGAGAAGAAAAAACACTAATGTTTAGGAAATAAGATAAAGTAGAAGAAGGATTGACCTATACAGAAGAGAAAAATAAAATATACAAACTTAAAAACGGGAAAACAGTGGGCGAAAACAAAATATGTGAAGAATTTATCAGATACGGTGGGGAGGCACTATACAAAAAGATTTATAAACTAATACAGAATATCAGGAGTCAGAAAATAATGCCCGAAGAATGAAAGAAGGGAATCCTAGTGACAACCCCAAAACAAGAAGACCATAAAATATGTAAAAACTAGCGATCAATCAATTTACTGAATATAACATATACAGTAATAACTGGTATAATTAGAGACATATTAACCAATACACACAGAATAAAGCATAGAAGATTACTCGTACGGTTCCAGAAAAGTAATATCCACGATAGACACTATACACTCGTTAAAACAAGTGATATAGAAAACATACGAGTACGACGAAGAAACACATAGAGGCAACTAAACCTTAAACAGGCATGTGACAAACTAAACAGAAAAAAAAATGATTCCAGAGTTACAAGAAGGTAATATACCAAATAAAATTACAAATGATAGAAATGACAATGCGAGATTTCCAAGCAACAATAGTCACCGGAAAAGAAAGAAGGGAAATAATCAAATAAAAAATGATTGAGACAAGATAATGCTGTCAAATGCAGGAACTATAAACAAGAATGCAGTACAAATAATAGGATATGGGGACCATATAACCAGAGTAGTAACAAGTATTGTCGCCAATTCTTTTTAATGCCTACTTCGAAGAGATTCTGAAAAACGCTTTTGAGGGTAAAACAGCTGAAGTAAAGGTATATGGAGTTCCCATTAACAACATTAGATATGCGGACGACACAGTAATCTTAGCCGAATATATTGAGGATCTTCAGAGATTGTTGACCAGAATAGCGGAGTATGGAAAAGAGTATGGTCTAACAGTGAATATCAAGAAGACGAAATTTATGAGAATATCGAAAACTCAAAGAAATAACTAGAATCTTCTAATAAACGGAACCAACGTCGAATAAGTGGACAAATATGACTGACTATCTGGGAACAATTATTAACATCACAAATGATTACATTCAGGAGATCAAAATCAGAATAGAAAAGGCTAGAGCAAATTTAAAAAAAAATTAAAAGAGCGCTATGTATGTGGATTTAAAATTGGAACTAAGAGTTAGGTTGGCGAGGTGCTATGTTTTTTCGACTTTATTTTATGGAATGGAATCTGGGACCTTCAATGCGTCATCAATAAAAAAACTGGAATCATTCGCGCTGTGGGTGTATGGAAGATTTCTGAAAATATAGTGTACAGAACACGTCACAAACAAAGAGCTTCTGAGAAGGATGAATAAAGAAGTAGAAATTTTGAATACAATTAATATAAGAAAATTGGGATATCTCAGACATATTACACGTGAAGAGAAATACACCTTGTTCCAACTGATGATGCAGGGAAAGATTCAAGGAAAGAGAAGCTAGGGAGGCGGAGAATGTCATGGCTGCTCAACCTGAGAAGGTGGTACAGATGTACATCAAATGAACTTTTAAGAGCAGCCGTCTCAAAAGTCCGAACAGCTATGATGATTGCCGACCTCCGCCGAGGAGATGGCACTTGAAGAAGAAGATAGAAATAAAAAAATGTTTAGAGGTAAGAAGATAAGCTGAAACACGAAAATGAAAATCTGAAAATCCAAATGACCATAAGACCAATAGTAGTATATACCGCAGAGACATTTACATTAACAACAAGAGAAGAAGAGCAACTGAAAGTTTTTGAAAGGAAGACAATGAGAAAAATACTGCGACCAAAGAGGGAAAACGAAAAGGACGCAAGACAATGGATGGATTAAGAAATACAAGAATGGATAGGTCAAGAGGACATTCTTAGAGCAATAAAGACATAGTGAATTAGATGGTATGGATATATATTGAAAAGAAAGAATAGCAATCTGTTAAGTGGGATAACGGAATGGATACCACCAGGTAAAACAATCAGAGGCAGACCTAAATTAAAATGGAGACAAGTGGCAGAATACTTAAGGAGTATGGAAGGAATTGGAAAATTAGAAATATAGGAAGGACAACCAAAAAGAAATAGATTTAGAATGGATATTATATTGGATGATTAATTGATGACGTGTCTTAGTGACGTATTTTATTTTTGAGGGGCTAGGTGATATTGATAAAAAACAGGAATAGTATCAGCATTCTTTTTAATTTAAAACATATGTTCTTCAGTAATCTGCTTCTGATTAGGGGCAACATTCTTGTAATACCTTATCCTCATTAGACGATCATTCTGACCCAATTCAGTTATTTATAGTAATTCTAAATAGTTTTAATTATGTTTTACAAATCCACTATCCTTTTAATTAATCTTGCATTTGGTATACCAAATGAATTATTAAAAGATAGCCCACAAGTATTACGGGAATTATTGGCGTATGTCTTCACCTTATTCTATAATGGACACGACTTACCACCGGAGTGGACAAAAGCACATATTAACAACATCTACAAAAAAGGAGATAGAAAGAATTGTTTAAACTACAGGGGGCTAAGTGTCATAAATTCACTCTTAAGACTGTATGGAAAAATAATAAAAAATAAAATTGAAAAAGAGATGACAGATGTAGAAGAACAGAATGGCTTTTGTGCAGGCAGATCCTGCATGGACAGTATATTCTCTCTAAAGCAAGTTATCGAGAAAAGA